ACACACACACACACACACACACACACACACACACACACACACACACACACCCCGTCCACCCCATCCACCCCATCCACCCCCCCAAAACACACTTGAGCTAGAAAAGACATGTTTTTAAACCTCTGACCCACATCCATTTCTCCCATGTTATCATGTTTATAAAATGAAGTGGGAATTATTTTAAACAAATTTCACCTATTTGAAAACATACTGTTTAAAAACAGAAATAATAAAGTATTTTTAAAAAGATTTTTAAAAATTTTAAAAAAGTAAATAATATTAAAAAATACTAAAAAACATACTGTATAAAAAATACTATTTAGGGGTGCCTGGGTGGCTCAGTGGGTTAAGCCTCTGCCTTTGGCTCAGGTCATGGTCCCAGGGTCCTGGGATCGAGCCCCGCATCGGGCTCTCTGCTCAGCGGGGAGCCTGCTTCCCCCCTCTGTCTGCCTCCCTGCCTATTTGTGATCTCTGTCTGTCAAATAAATAAATAAAATCTTTAAAATAAATAAAATAAAATAAAAAAAATACTGTTTAATTATCTGGCAAGTATTTACCAACAGCCTACCACTTGTCTGTCAAATGTTTTCCATTTGATTGTTAACTTCCAAGATGCAGTGTGTTTTTCTCTGACGTCTGTCTCCATGTCTAGGGCTCTGTCTACAAGCGCACAGCTGCTGTGCTGTCTCACCATGATTCATTTCCCTCAGTGATTACTTATTGAGCATCTACTACGTGTCAGGGGCCCTACTAGATACGTAAGTATTCATTACTTTAAAAAGAAAAGAATTTCTAATTAATTGAACTCCTTTAGTATATATTTTATATCTCAAGACATGATTTCTTAAATTAATTTTGCTTTCGAAGACACTAAGTTTTACTCTCTTTCCTTTCTTTGCCCTCTCTGCCCTTGTCTGGGTCTTCTAAACCACTCAGTAAAATTGATGACCTACTGGAAACAGGCCAGAAGGACTTCTAAATTACCTTGCTTATAGCAGAAGAGTAAAAAGGGACCCTAAAGAAAACAAAAATGAAGTGAATTGTCTCAGCAGAAATATACAGGACTAATGCACAAGCAAACAACTGAATTAAATCAGACCAAGATACCATTTATTAACTTTCTACTGTGTGCTTGCCTGTGGTTAATGTGGCAAATAATGACTTTCACTGACTATTCCCTAAAAGAAGTAGGAGTCCATAATTAGGGAGAAAGAAATCTGCCTTTGCTCATGTTGGGCCTAAGACAGAAGGGAGAATCCACTGGAAATCAGGCAGTAAATCAAGAAGTTTGGGTTCCAATCCAATTGCGTGACCGTGGGCAGCTCTCCGAATCCTGGGAGCAATCATGTGTGCATGGTGTTTGAAACGGGGCGTTGGACATGAGCCCAGGCTGTGTGACCCTAACTCTCTCAGGTCTGTGGGAAGCCATTTATCTGTGGGGAGCGGAATCTCGGGAAGGTCTGGCCTCTAGCACCTGGGGAGTTCTCTGGCTTGCTTTCTCCCCAAAGTTCTGCTTAGCAGGCTGAGACCCGGAAACAGACTAAATCTGTGAAATTCTCCTGAGGGTCTCATTTTTAGCACAGCCAAAAATCAACAGCCCATTCCTAAAACCTGAAACAGGAGAGCTTTGGCTCAGCTCTGATGACCAGAGAGGCAGGTTTAAAAGTTTAATACCCACCTGTTTCTATGCCTGTTTGGCGTATTTGTAAACGACTGAACGCAGAGAGAGGAGGTAAGCCCGTGGACGCATGGGGTCCCAAGAACCCATTCTCTCACTCTGAATGGAAAGAGCCGAGGGGAAGGAAATGGGGGACCCCCTGTCTTTTGCCCCTGGGAGATATCTGGGCTTGGCAAGTGAAGGCAGAAATATACAGGCTAATTTCTAAATCCATAAAGGGAGATCTCCAGAGCTTAACCAACAAGGTTGCATAAGGAATTATCGGGGTAGATAGTGCTGACTGCAAACCCGATCCTTCCCTCCAGACAAGTGATCGCTTTGCAGTTCCTGGCTTGGCACCAGCTCCCACATCCAGGACTATGTCCACATCGCTCCCTCTGCCTGCACGCTCTCCCGCAAAGATGTTCCCATTCGTCAAGTCTCGGAATAGCTTCTTCCTCACCCACCTATGACTTTCCCGCCGACCTCTTCCCATTCTCACTGCAGGCATGATTTACCTGGCATTTCCACCAAGAACCTTCACTTCCCATCTAGTGTGAGAATGATGGGGAAATTCACGATCCCATCTGAGAGACCATCCCATTCCTCCTGAGCAAGAGTTCCCAAATGGCTGAGGAGAACAGCATTTCCAAGAGATGTTAAGAGCTACTGCCAGAAAGGGTTCTGTGGTCAGCTAAGATTGTAAAATTCTGTGTCTGTCCTTCCTGGAGCACCAAGTGCACCACACTGTCAATGAAAGGCTCTGGAAAGCCCTATGGAAAGGAAGCTACATAAAGCAGCATTCCCTATACACACTTCACTATGAAAGTATCTTTTATCACAAGACACCTACTAATATTTTGCAGAACTCAATTTGGGAAATGTCACTCTGAATATTTCCTTCTATTATTTCAATAGGGCACATTCTCTAATTACCGGCAATTTCCATGAAGGAAGTAGGGAGGAAGGTAAGTTGAGTTCTTTGCTCAAAGCAACCTGCTCACTGAGAAGATGAGTTTAGAGAGAGCATCAGTGAGTCTCTTCCTGGGCTTCTAATCATAAGAGGCATTTCTAAATACTACAATATTTATGCTGAACATTGTAATGCTGAAGAGTTAGCAGTACATTAATTCTGCAGTATGCTCTCATTCTGTATGCCATGAAGATGGCAAGAACCTAACTCATGGATTCCACCTCTGAGGGATGTACAATTTCACTGTGAGGGGGGCAGAAGTGAAGAGAACACAGCTCTGTAGTCTCTGAGGAGGTAGCAAACACATGGTAGAGACACCGGGTGCTGTGTGCATTCGGGGGAGGCTGTGCTTTCAAGGTCTGTGGGATGTAGATGGGAGTTGAGGAAGGCTGTCCTCAAAGAATGGTGTTAAGCCAAATTGAAGGCTGCCTTCTTGGCAAGAGGGACAAACGTGGCAAAGTGGGGGTTGGTGCAGGCACTGGTGGAAGATTACGTGGGGAGCAGAGGAAGGCAGAGCATCTGGATGTCTGAATAAGGAGTTTCTATTTTATCAGCTGCCAGTGAGGAGTCTGGTGGGTATTGAGGAGCTCATGACATTGTGGGGTAGAATGAGCCAAGGCCTCAGAGAAACTCTGATGACTGTCTCCCACCCCCAGTGAGCAAGGGAACTCATCAAACGCCGTGGCCGAGAGCATGGGTACTGGACCTATGCTGGCATCCTGACTGTCCACAGGTTCCTGGGGCCAGTTTCTTGACTCCTGGCTTCCTCTTCTGAACTCAGGGCATAGGTATTTACCTCACAGACTTCTTTTATGAGTCCTGTGAACTAACACAGATAAGGTCCTTGATGCAGAGATTAATAATTACTAAGGCTTGCTAAAAAGCCATAAATACTGTTATTCGGTTGCTACTCACGGGCCTTTGCCCCCAGGTCCTGAGTGGATCTCGTCCTTTCCTCCCTCTTGAAAACCCAGTGCGGAACCATGCTCGGCGTCTGTGGGAGGTTGGCTAAGCAGAGAACCTATATTCCACAGCACGTTCCCCGTGGGCCTTCTCGCGCCCACCTTCTTGGGGCTGAACCCAAAGCCTCGGGGCAGTGTTCACCTGCATCAGACGTGGCCGCAGAGGCAGCGAGGAGCGATAACACTGGGCTCGGGGAGATTGCCACACTGTCAACCGCCGCTGGCTTCTTCCTGGTCATCATGGTGGACGCGGAGCCCTCGTTCTTACTGTGTGGTGCCGTTTGGTCCACTTTTAGGTGGGGACTTGGCATCCCTACAAAAGAATAATCCCGAAGCCTGCAGTTACTTGAAAGGAACAGGAAAATAGACAACAGAAAACCTGAAAGTGAGCTGAGAACATCATTAATTCACCTCCTTCTGGTCACAACAAGAATGAAATGGTAGAATATTTAAAGAAAAAAAAATTAGCAGCATGACGGGTTTTGGTTTTGTGGCTGAGATCCGTGGAGACAACATTCCCGTCTGGCTGCGTGGAAGCAGGGGCATGGCCCAGGGAGGCAGGAAAGACCAGCGGCTACCCTTTGTCTTCTATGGAGCAAGAAGCCCATCTTCACAGAGGCTGCGCTGTGCGCAGCATGAAGGGGAGAAGGGAACCCCACCCCAGCTTCTTATTGGGGACACGAGACTAAAGGAGAAGGAAAAATCGGGTGACACATAAGGGCGGGCTTGGGTGTTCTTCATCCATCCACATGCTAGGTGCCTGGAGAGCGCTAAGGATTTCGGGATTAGTGTGGGAACGGAGGGAAGGCTTCCCAGAGCTTATGCTGAAGCAGCAAGGAAGAGGGAAATGCATTCTCAGTGCCGAGAAGAGCACACACTAAGTTCTGGGTGGGGGATGAAGATGATCCAGTCTGCTGGAGCAGAAGACGCATGGTGGGGGCTGGTGTATCCCTGTGGCCATGGCTGTGGCCAAGTGAAAGTAGATTTGGGGGCTTTTCAGCCTCTGGTCCTGATAAGCATCAAAGGTCATATCTTTGTGATGCTGAAAAGCACCTCTTGCAAAGTGCCTCTGGAAGGGCCTGGGAATTTACTATGTAACAAATTACAGAGCTATTCTGGAAACTTGCTTCCTCCATTCGAATCCAGACTCTCTATTTTTTAGCTGCGAGATCCTAAGCCAGTTACCCTCCCCAAGCTTTGAGTCCTTAGCTGTACACATGGGGTAGAACAGTATAAGCTCACAGGGGTGGTTGGGAGGACTCTGGAGGTAATTAACGTAAAGTGCTTAGAGCAGTGCCTAGCACACAGTCCACGACAAGTATTACTCTTACTAGCTTATTATTCCTGCAGTCTGCTACTTCCTCAGGGCAACAGAAAGCATCTGGCAAAGGCTCTGTTCTCTATCCTGACCTGAGCAAGGATTTCTGGGCCCCGTCTGCATCCCCAGCTGCAGGAATGCGGCTCTCCAACTCGTCCAAGCCTAAGTCCAGAGGCTGGGGGGGGTGTCCGAATCGGTGTTAGATGGCCAGCCACGCAGAATTTCTTCATTTCTAGGCTCCCTGCCACGGATAGCAACAACAAATGGGGCTCTATCCCAATCGCTCTCGACCCTTGTTTTTCCAGCCCAGCCACCGTGGGTGATTCAGTCCTCTGCCCGAGTTAACGTTATGTTGTCACCATGGTGAAAGCAGCTCAGGGAAGCCAGTGACAGCCCCGTGAAGTGTGTAGCGCAGAAGATACCAGTTTCTTAATTTTACCAATGAGGAAACCACAGTTCTGAGAGGTTCAGAGATAACTAACTAAATTCACACAGCCCTAATGTCAGGGCTAGGAGTCTGCAAGTAGCCAGATGCTAAATCCAGGACCCAGGGGCCAGGCTGGCCCAGCTGGTTGTCCTCTAACACCTGTCCACTGGCCTGGTCTGCCCACAGCATCATTTATATCGAGGGCGCACAGGCCCTAGCCCCACACCTGGACAAAGCACCTGTAAGCATCTAAGGAAGGAAGTCATGTTGACGATTTCATTGACTTACTACTACCTTCCTCCTACGCTCCATCCCACCCTCTGAAACTCCCCTTCTCGTTCTGTGAATAACAATGTAAATGCCCTTCTTTAGGTTTTATGTTTCAAAGCATTTTGACAGTAGAGGTAGACAGACATCAAATTCTGTGACAGAAAGATTGCAAGGCATGACCCTCAGGATGCCAGGAAGGGCAACAAACGTGGACAGGATGCCCATTTGTGAAATACGCAGGGGTGTCAGGGATGGGCTGGGCACACGCATAATACATGTAACATACATACAGAGCCACCCGCGAGGAGATCTATCCCAACAGTTAACGGTGGTTATTCTCAGGAAGGAGAGCACGCAGGAAAGTTCGTAAGAAAGAGGGAGTTTTTACCTTTATTCCCTAGCCTTCTTTAGTTAATAGTTTTAAAGCCACAAACGTATTAAACTTTGTTTCTCTTGAGAAAATAGACTTTGGGGGGAAAAATCTGCAAGTCTACCAGAGGACAGGCTTTGGAGTAGAGTGCTTTGCTTAAACAACCACTGCTAAGACTCCAAACTGGGGACAGCAGCCCTGGGTCTGCGGGAAGTCCCCCAGCTCAGTCCTCGTTGCCACCACGGTCACACTCCCATTAGACGGAGGCAGCTGTGCCTTCCACCACACACCTCTGGAAGTCCAAGCCGTCCCAGAGTTCTGCTGGATAATGGCTCCTCTGGAAAAAAACCCTGGTATGGCATCTTTGTACCCGTGGACACAGGTTGGGTAGGTCATTCTTTGTGTAAATGAAGGCAGGCTCGGGGACCAGGCCGCAAACAGGATTAGCAGGAGCATATTTAACCCTCACTTGGGAACAAACCGATTTCAAGTCATTTTCGTTGTACCCATTCTCATGCAAATGTTCACGATCCAAATTAGTCTCAGTCCACATCATTTCATTCAAGTTCATTCGATCATACCTCTATTGGGCAGACTATGCTACTCAAGTGTTTATGTTAAAAGTAATAAAATGACATTTAAAAACTCTATAATTCAAATCGTCACTATTTAAGCGGTCTTGAAAACCCTCGATAATTTAGGATTTTCTAGATTATGGTACTGTTTGTTCGTTGCCATCCAATGAATTTGAAAAGCAATTAGGAAAAAAGAAAAAAAAAGGAGCCCTGACGTTTTCTCAGACATTTTTGGGTTTTGAAAGGATTATGGAAACAATCCCAGAAATAGCATACATGAGCAAGTATATTAGATAAGCTTTCAACAAAGACTAATCTAACAGCATTTGGAATCCCCAAAGTCTGCCCGAGGGGCGAGGGCTCAGGCTGCTGGGATGGGTGACCCCTCCAGGGAGCGAACACTGGGCAGGCTGGCCACCGGGAGTCTTCATCTCCCTTCATTCCAGGGGGCAGCTGATGCTCCCCGGAGAGGGGCCCAAATGACCGGGCAGGCGTGAAACAGCTCAGAACCAAGTTCTCGGGGATGTGGGATGACGGCAGAGGGCTGGGACATTTGGAACCTTTCTTCTCAGCATGGGCCCGGCTTCCCTCTCCCCGCGGGAGGGAGATGCGTGAAGCTGGACGTCCACCAGAAAGAACCCCGGATATAACGTTGTGCTGACTTGGACCATTGAGATGTGTTACCTCAACTAACGCCAGGACCTGAATAAAGGTGAGCACAGCTTTGATGCGGGAAGGGGTCACTTCTCAACCTCCGACAGCAGACTGTGTGGAGAACACACATGGTGCCTGCGTTCGGAATGTCCGTGAACCCCAGCTCAGGACCGACTGTACTGAGGCTGGCGTATGTGGAGGCCAGGACATTTTTAAAGGAGAAAATAACAATGCTAATAACTACTTGGATCCCAACATCTGTTCATGATTAAAAGACAGAGCCAAGAGGAAATATTGTTTAAAAGTTAAACCTATAGGAAAACATTCTGCTAATAACCTGTTGACCTCTATTGATAGATTTTTTAAAAAGTCTTTGAAACTGTGCTGTAGTGTATCGAGGGACAGTCACTCATTTTCAAAGGTAATTTCTCATAGACCACTTATCCCCTCAAACCGCTACCTGCACACTGTGTTTGCATTAGGGACTTGATTTATGGATTCCCACTCCTCCAATGCAGAAGCTGACTTCCTGTTGCCTTGGTTACTTGGAGCTTAGTTCAAGGTTAAAGTACGCCGAAGTCAGAATCAGTGGCGGGCGTTGCATCCAGCGGCCGGGTTATTGACTGCCCCAGGATGCGAAAAGGTCAGAGACCAAAGCACTGTTTACTGCCTTAAGGGTGAGTCAATAGCTTCAATATTTTGATTCTGTTTCTTCCAAAGTAGTAGTTGCTGTTCAATTACCTCTTCCCCGGGTTGTTCAAGGTCACAGGGGTCATGGAGGAAAAGCAGGGTCTGTAGGGCTGACTTTCCCAGGATCCCTTTAATGAGCTCTGTGACCTTGGATAATAAAAACCAGCCTCACCTTAGAGTAATTTGTATGTTGCTCTAGGTTTACAAAGCTACTTTATCTCATTTTCTTTATGGGGCAAACAAACAAACATCTTTGTAGGATGAGTACTGCGTATTCACTCCCCTTTTCTAGATCAGAAAAAAGGAGGTTTAGAGAGGTCGTGTAACTTATGTAAAATCACACAGCTGGTAAGATGTGGTAAGAACTAGATCCTGACTCCTTGATGGGTCCTCACGTCCCAATTTCTTTTAAAATAGAGGGGCAAATGGAATCATCACCTAGAGATCATATGTAATTCATTCTGGAACATCCATTGCAGAGAGCAGTGGATCTAGAAAATGCTATGTGATTAATATAGGCTTGTGGAACACCTTAATTAATTTTTTAATTATACGATTTGCAAATGCACTTGTTTCCTGGTGACAAAGCTTAGATTGGAATAGTGAGAGAGCCCGACACCACCAGAATGGTGGTTGGGTTTCTCAGTCACCTCCTGGCCCCCTTCATGCTTCAGAAAGCAGGGCTTGGCATGCGCTGGGAGGTATATTATATTGAACAGTCAGTGGCTTTTAATCTTGCAAAGAACTTTGACAGGCATTATGCTACTTGCTCCATGCAGCATCTCTGTGGACGACAAAAGGCAGATGGTGAAATCCCAAGTACACAGATAAGTAAACTGAGCCGCAGAGGACCAGATGATTTGCCCAAACTCACACATCACGTGCGCAGAAGACGTAGTGTGGAAATCCATGCCTCTTGACTCAGTTTGATGTTCTTTTCTTTCCCTTTTGGGTAAGCCAGTCAATGACGTATTTTGCAGAAGACAAAACTCTTGAAAACTTGAAAATA